TGTTAACCCATACACGTATACATGCATCGACGGATGTATTTGATTAATGTACTCTGTAATAGCTAGCTTTGTCCCACAAATCATTTTAGCCAATCAAGCAACCTTCTCGTAGGTGCAAGTTCACATAGCATGTATACATATGTACCACACGTACCCTACACACGCATCATCTATATATGCACGAAATTATTCCAGGTACCTACGTAATGGTGTGCTCACATGCAAATTAAAATACGTGTACTATGAACTCTAAAATATTTGGTAATATTCCACTAGGTATATTCCTTACATAGGAAGTTAAACTTAGGTTACATTTTTTTTTCTTTTGCAAGAAATCTCATATATAATACTTGAGTACATGAACTATGATTTATTTAGTTAACTCCATCACTTAGTAGCACAACTAATAACCCATAAAAATATGGGGTATTACAGGCACAACATCTGTCGGGTTACGCACAACGAACTGGCAACACGGGATAAGGCATATGCGGATAGAGATAAGAAGGCATGGGCATTTTAGACCTTTCCACAATATATGTTGCTCTTATTAGTTCCAATTGCCTGGTTTTGGTCAAATAGTTGGGTAATAACTTAGAAATTTGGCTAAGAATTAGATTGCCTATTAGCCATCATGTTTGGATGGACTAAGGCTAATTTTAGCTACTACTTTCTCTGTTTTTTACACATCACATTAGGACACGTTTGGATGTTTTGTTGATTACTGTGGTACCTAGCTGGGCATGGTATTTATACAAGCAACTTGTTTAGATGTGCAACAAAATCACCTCAGTGCTTGTGTTCCAAGATTTTTCTCACCAACTTGAGCCAACTAGATAGCTCTCCAGCCAAGGTAACCTCACCCAACAAGATGAGGGTAGCAGCAAAACTAACACACCTTCAGTTTTATCCAAGTCAAATATTTCTATTTTTTATATAGCTTCTGTTTTATACTTAAATATACCTTATATTTAAATACAATAATAGCACAAAGTATATGAAAAAGACTAATTTCAGCCGATTCAATAGTGTTTCTGTGAGGGAGAATAAATCGAAATAAGCATAAGCCGGCTAAAAAGTAGATGAGCAGAACATGGCCAAAATATCTACGCCCTGTTCACTTGGGCTTGTTTGGCTGATAAGTCATGCTTGAAAGTACTGTTGGCTGATTTAGTGTGAGAGAAAAATATTATTTATTGACTGAAAAAGTACGACTTATAAGCAAAACAAGCTCAAACGATCGGGGTGCTAATTTGAAACCGATACATTAGATTCCAGTATTCCAAGTGTCTCGTTGGACCTATGCAGCCACCAGCCAGGGCCCACAGACGTCCGACTACTTTGCCCACATCAGAGTCCTAGCAGTGGCACTCCAAGCTCGTTCCCCCGACTGTTCCCAATGCGCAGTCCGCGAGGCCTCCTCGCCGCCTCCGGCTACCTTGTGGGCCGCCACGCTCGAGACTTTGGCATTTCACCCATCGTCGAAAACTGGTTTCGCACTTTTACCATTCCGCAAAGTGGTTTCGCTTGTTTATCATTATAAAACTCGTGTAAAATACACTTCGAGTAGTTTTAATTCGTGGAAAAAAGGCACATCCTTCCGGTTCTACCCCTGCCTGCTTTCTCACCGCATGCCTCGTGGGTATGCTTTCGAAATCTGATTCTACGGACATGGTGGACAAGCGAGAGCAGCGCTACTGGTCCTCTACGCCGCCGCCACGCCAATGGTGCTCTCGCTCCCCGCCGGGGCTCTGCAGCCGTGGGGAGCCACCTCGATGCGTTCGCCTCTCGCGCCTCCTGCGGCCTTCTCACCCTCCGCCCTCGCCATCCAAGCGCCGCGACGGGTGCCGCGAGCCGGCCGCGGGAGGGCCGCGCAGCGCCCACAGGAAGTGCCGCGAGCCGGCCGCGGGAGGGCCTTGGCGGCGTCGAACCAGCCCAGGCTCCCGGACACCCGGACCCGAAGCAGAGGAACACTACCGACGCCCGCGGCTGCACGTCGAACCGCGGACGCACGCCGGCGCAGTCCACGAGGGGCTCCAAAGCCGCGAGGTGGTTGAACCGGACGCCAATGCCCGACGCCGCATGCGCCGACGGGGAGGTAGTCCTTGGAGCCGTCGGCGTTGACGTTGTACATCTCGGTGCGAACGGTCATGGAGACGAGCGCCTCCGAGGCGCAGTTGGCGAAGAAGAGGGTGTACTCGTCGGGGCGGGTGACCGTGAAGGACTTGTTGTAGTGGCCGTCCTTCAGGTTTTTGAAGGTGAAGAGCTTCTTCACGTAGGGGCTGTTGAGCACGCACCCGCCAGAGACAGAGCCACCGTCGGGGTCCTCGCCGCCGCCGTTGAGTCGCCAAGGCGCTTTCTCCACAGGGGCCCCTCCCGCGCCTCGTCGATGGCATGGAGGAGGGACTCGTCGGAGAGGAGGAAGAACCCGAGCTGCCCGTTGTTCGGCCGCGCGACGGGGGAGGAGACGGCGGCGCCAGAGACAATGATCCGGACCGCGCTGGACTTGGAGAAACCGAACTTTTCGAACATGATGGACGAGCGCAGGTCCTCCCTGAAGGACTCCTTGATCTCGGCCGCCACGGGGAGCGCCAGGGCTCCCGCGACGGCGACGACGAACAGAAGAAGGCGGCGCACCGGTGCGGCCATGGAGGAAGCAGGCAGGGGTAGAACCGGAAGGATGTGCCTTTTTTTTTTTCCACAAATTAAAACTACACGAAATATATTTCAGCGGCTTACACCAGTTTTATAATTGCAAACAAACGAAACCACTTTGCGGGACGATAAAAGTAGAAACAGTTTTCGACTATGTGTGAAATGCCAAAGTCTGGCCACGCTCCGTCGACCTCCGTATCCACCACCACTGGCCTTCACTCCCTAGTCGCCCGCACCTTCCAAATCCTAGCCCAGCCGGAGCCCGTCCGCCTCCAGAAGCTCCCGGCACCCAACTCCTGTCTGTGAACCTGCCACCTAGAAGCCACTGTCGGCTTTTAAAATTTTCTTTTTTTTGGTAGCTGTTCTAAAATTCCTCCTTTTGATTATTCTTTGACCTGGGTCCCGGTTCAGGGATCTTAGAGCTGAGGCTGGAGCGGCCGGAGGTCAAGAACGCCATTAATTGGGATGTGATGAGGAGGCTGCGGAGCGCTGTAGAGAAGATTCAGGCCGACACGACGGCGAAGGTCGTCCTTGTTGCGAGCTCCGTGCCGGGGGCTTTCTGTGCAGGCGCCGATCTCAAGGTCTGGACTGTTCAGTTTGTTTTTTAGATGGGTTTAGCCGCTTGGATGTTGGGACACAACAAATGAACACGAGTTTCGATTTCTGTAGAAGACAGGCAAAAGTGGTTTAGGTGCATGTGCGTATTCCAGATCCAGATTAGTTATGATTAAAGAGCAGTTGCGAAATGCTATCAGCAGAGTTGATTGGTGAACTTTGCGCAATGCTGATATTGATGTTCAGAAATACTGTGTCTTAGATTTAATTGTTAAAAAGAAAAGGAATGGTTGGAGTGGTGTGAAGGCTTGGGGAAAAGAACGACTCATGGCTAAGCCAACACATAGAAGAGTCGGTATCTTGAGGTGCGTCTAAGTATACGAGACAAAAGGATGTTTTGATAGACAATTTCATTTGCAAAGAATGTTTGAAGGACAACTTTAGAAACTCTAGGGTCTATGATTAGTAAAGACTAGAGTGTGTGGCTTAAAGAGAAACAACCATGACCCCTCATATATATGTTGAACTACTATTATTCCACATGTGACTGTGTGATTGCTCTAGATATGATTGTATATAATTTTGGTATGCACCAAATAAAGTAATTTATATCAGGAACCAATGGAAATTAATCTAGAAATCTTAGTATTTTGTTTCTTTGATGGCTTTTCTATTTCTGAAACTCTTAACTTTTAACAGTGACTAATTGTTTCTACGATTTCTGATTATTTCCTATGAAACATTATGTATAGCATCCTTGAAATGTTCCTTACAATTTAATCATGGATATGTCCCACAGTCCCACCAAACTCAGGTCGGATGCTTTTGTATCTTTGGGAATTAAGAATTTGTAGCATATCTTTCCTACTAGCAGCTATAAAATGATTGACGTAAGCCTTTATTATGTAGTGACATCATGGTACTGCTAAAGGGATCATTTTTGCACACTCCGCTATGACATTGATTTCTCAACCAATTTGTTTGACATATCATAATTGATACAGTAATACTTGCCTCCTTGCCTCTGTCCCTTGTTATGACCTTTAGATCAGTTCAAGAATAAAGAACATCATATTCACTGTATAATGACTAATGAAACGACAAGGGCCCCATCTCAGAGCAATACTATTGTTAGCAGGAAAGGAGGCTAATGAACTCTTCTGACGTTGGGGAGTATGCTAGATCCTTGAGATCTACATTTTCGTCTTTTGAGGTTTGCACCTGGAACTCAAGTTTAATTTGCCCTTTTGCATTTGTAACATTAAATCAACAAAATGGGTAATGGGTAAACATTGGCCCATGACTCAAGTTTTTTTCATTGGCCATAGTTATTTGATGTACATATCAGCATGTGTTGTTGAGAGAATTCTGTATTCGGCACTGAAACAAATCACTCTTTCGTATTTGGCACTGGAAATTTTGAACTTCCTTATCTAGCATTAATTTAAAAATTCCTTCCATATATGGCACTTCCGTCCATTTGATACAGTAACGGTGTCAAGTGCCACATAAAATGACATATATACCCTTCTATGTACCAGCAACAGGTGTTGGCAATGACCAGCACTGGCTCCTCATCGACCGTCTGCCACGACAGCCTCCGGCCGTTAGCCCACTTCGATGACGACGACGAAGATCGTCCGCTCGCACACGGGCCCCACTCGGCACACCACAGCCCACACTACCACGCCTTGTCTACCTCCACAATGCCAAGGTCCACGTCCGTCTTGGTCCGCTGGCGCGCCGACTCCATGGCAGCGACGCCATCCGCCTCCCCGAGCACCGGTAGCATGAAGACGGTGGTCGCCTCGGCGACCTTGCCGTCTCGGGAGCCGCACCACCGTGGACGCCGGGCCGCGAGGTGGCGAGGTCCTCCTCCTCCCCTCCACCTCCCTAGCCGCCTTCTTCCGGCGCGCTCCAGCTCGAGCTCCACGCACGCCTTGCCGGACTCGGTCTCCACCACCACCTGGGTAGCGCTTCCAGCTCCACGATGCGGTCCTCCACGTCGATGGCCTCCCGCGATTAAGCGGAACTGCTGCGTGGGAGAGCGATCGGCGGGAGTCCCTCCCAAGGCCTCCTTAGCCTTCCTCCAGCCCGCCAGCCGGGAAGCTCTTCATGGCGCGAGCCAGCCTCCGCCACGCTTGGGCTCAAGCTCATAGTCGATGGTGTGCTGGCGGCGCTGGCGCTACCGGGCGCTGCGCTTCGAAGCGGAGCTCAGACAGAGGTCGGGCCCGCTGTAGGAGTCGGGCACGGGAGCAGATCGGGCGGGAACGCTTTGGTGACCTTGTCGCCGAGGAGCGGTCGGCATGGACTGGGACGCACGACGAGGCGCTTCTTCGCCGACGCCCGAGATGCCCGTGGGCCTCTGGATGGAGGACGGGTTGAAGTCGCCCCGGAGAGCGAGGACATGAGGGGCGCGTGCTTGCCTGAGGCCATCATCTGTCGCGGGAGGATCTGGAGGCGCTGGGTGAGGTCGAGGTTGCGAGGTCATGCGTAGAGGGACGGCGGGGGTGGAACAACTGGTAGAGCTGGCCCGGCGGCGTCATCGGGGCGGCGTGAAGGGGAGCCTTGATCGCTCGGCCCGCCCGCCGCGGCCTGCCGCCTCCTGAAGCGGGCTGGCGCTCATGGGCGATGTGGTCGGCGCGACGGCGGCGCCACACGGGAGATGGCCTTGACGATGCGGGCGCGTCTGTGGCTTGGCGGCGGTGGACGCTGGGGGGGGGAGTGACAATATTTTGGTACTTATCAAGAAAAACTGACATGGTCAAGGAAGTCAACAAACGGATGGATGGCCAAAATGGACGGAAGTGCCATATACGGAAGGAATTTTCAAGTTGATGCTAGATAAGGAAGTTCAAAATTTCCAGTGTCAAATACGGAAGAGTGATTTATTTCAGTGCCAAATACAGAATTCTCCCTATGTTGTTCTTATGGTACTTACAAATCACAGTTTGTTTCAATAGGCACTCCCTATTCCAACAATTGCTGTCATTGAAGGAGCTGCCCTTGGTGGTGGGCTAGAACTGGCTTTGGCATGCGATCTCCGAATATGCGGTGGTGCCTTTGTTCTGGAGTATTACCAAATTCTGTCCATCCTATGGGATAACTATTTCATGTTGTTTTGGATATTGAAATGCGTACCTACATGCTGTGCAGGGGAAAATGCAGAACTTGGACTGCCAGAAACAGGCCTTGCTATTATACCTGGGTATGGAAATAAATAATCTACACTGTGTTTTACTTTTATAGTTTTATATACGATTTTTTTCAAGAAAATGTCAAGATGCTCTGAAACAAAATAGCCTGAAATACATAGGGTGTCCCCAGCCTGGTGCAATTTTTTAGTCTTGAATTGGGACGTGATAAATCTAGCCGTAATTGGACGTGATTTCATAGAAAATAAACTGCTGGCTTCAACAGGGGGCTGCTCAGGAAGACTTAGCCAACATTATGCCTGAAGACTGACCTTGTAGTTAACGTAGATTTATTCACTTCTTTGACGTGGCTGGCAAAAGTTTGACACAGACTCAAGCATAAGGAACTTGTAGAAGTAAGCATCTATATCAACTTTAAGTGCCTTGCAAATAGTCGATTCGATATGTTGATGCTGAAAAGGCGAAACCGACAAGCAGGACTTTACATGATGTGTTTACTTTTCTAGAATCAAAATTTGATAGTGGTTTTCTTTGTCATGATAGAACTTTCCCACTGCATGGTTTGACTATAGTTATTGTACATGCATTTCTTGATGTACTCAACATTGAAAAGTGAAAGTGCATCTAGCCCTTTAGTGGGTTTTGGTTGATTGAATGACAACGTGATTAAAGGACTAACCCGTTTGCTAAGTGTGAACAGGTAATAGGTTATCTCACAGGTACTTAATGAAAGCCAAAATGATGTGTTGTTGTATAAACAATCTAGTTCGAGCACAAGACAACAATGCAAATGGAATTCATGTGAAGGCTTATTTTTTGTGGGATTTCCATTGACTATGTGAAAGCAAGCTCATGATTATTAGTTAATGAGACATGAGGGATTGCATATGGAATGGTCTCATATTTGAAGCTTGCTAAATTAAAATGAAAAAGATAACAATACATATGAATGGATGATTCAACACAAGATGTGACTTGATGGCTTGAGATGGTGAAGATAGCAAGGAAAGGCTTCGAGGTACTAAGCAAGGGTGAAGGGCAAGCGACGGCTTGGCGGCCGAAGAACCTAGCTAGGGTGAAGAAGAAAGTACTTGCATTTAGTTGAGGTACTAGTCAAGCTAAGATGGTCATATTGATGTGAAGGATCAAATCTATAATGAAGTATTTGATGGAAGTGACTTGATACATTTGGGATTATTCAAACTTGATGAATGGAATCAAGTCACATGCTCAAGATGGCTATGCTCAAGTGAAAAGATCAACATCAACATGTTAGCACCCTTACTTGATGAAGATTGGAAGGGACGGCATCAATTCAAAAGAACAACTCAAGTGGTACAAATTCATATTTCCGTTTGTCTTGAGTTTAATAGGTATGCCGTACTATTAAGAGGGATGCATCATGTTGATAGATAATGTTTCATAAGTGCTCAAGCCAACTCATGTGAGTTTTTGAGTATTTGAGAGACAAAAGAGCTAATCGATTTGTTGTTGGTTCTGCAATACATACCGGACGTGTCCGGTATTCATACCGGACGTGTCCGGTATTTGTCCAAAGAAATTGTAAAATTGTTGTTCTCGGGTTGGTTAGTCGGGAGTTCCGACGTAGGTCGAGTTCCGACGGTCGGGAGTCCCGGCATGGGTCGGGAGTTCCGACGTGTCGCACTTCAACTGACTTGGAGGGTTCTCTGTCCTGGTCATACCGGACGTGTCCGGTATTAATACCGGACGTGTCCGGTATGGATGACCGTGGCCAACGGCTAGTTTTCAAAAGCCGTGAGGGTCGGAAGTTCCGACGTTTGTCGGGAGTTCCGACGGTCGGAGTTCCGACATATGTCGGGAGTTCCGACACCTCACTAACTTTAACTCGCCATTACATGTTTTCAAAATTACCGAGGGTCGGGGTTCCGACTTGAGTCGAGTTCCGGCGGTCGGAAGTCCCGCATTCTTCGGGAGTTCCGATGCCTCACAACATCATCAGAATTTAGTTACCGTTGGCGCGATCTCGAGTCATACCGGGACGTGTCCGGTATGCATACCGGACGTGTCCGTATTGCAACGGCTATAAACGGCTTAGTTTTTCAAGGGGCTATAATATACCCAAGCCTCCACCTTTGGAGGTCTGCTGATTCTCACCGAGATAGACACACGCTTTTTTAGCTCTTGCCAACTCTCCTAAACCCTCTCTTAGTGAGTGTGTGATCCAAATTACAAAATCAATTTGTGGGTTAAGAGAGAATTTGAAAAGAGAGCAAGCCACCACTTGAGCACTTGTGCATATTGTCAATCTCGTGATTCGCATTTGTTACTCTTGGACTCTTCGGTCCTAGACGGCTAGGCGTCACGGGGAGAGCAACCTAGAGATTGTGGTTGCTTCGGAAAGTTTAGAATTCACGATTCCGCCGCCTCGGAATCAAATTAGTGGAAGGAGGAAAAGGAGTTGGAAAAGACTCGGCTAGAGTGACCTTCGTGGTACCCTCTAGGGTGACCTTGTTGGGTCGCCTGCAGCCCCCCTCAACGGAGAGTAGGACTCGAACGAGTCCGAACTCTTCAAAAACAAATATCGTGTCTAAATTCGCATTTCATTTGATATTTGTGTTGCTTAGCTGTTCTGCAGTGTTCTCTGTGTATATTGTCATCTCCACTAGGTGCCTGCAGTTTGGTTTGAAGATAGAAATCGAAAGGAGCAAGTTCGGGGCAGATCTGCAGAAATCGTGTATACCGGACATGTCCGATATTCATACCGGACACGTCCGGTATTTCTTGTCTGTACTGAAAATATTTATTCTCTGTTCTAACTTGGTGTTGCAGGGTTGTAGCTTCTAGATATATTCTTTATACCTTGTTTACTTTGTGGCTAACTTGTGAGGGGTGGTAGTACTCTTGATTTGGAGTTTCCATTTTGGAAACTCCCCCTTCTAATTGTTTCCGCTTTTAAAGGTGTTAATTTTCAGAAACGCCTATTCACCCCCCCTCTAGGCGGCATCCTAGGTCCTTTCAATTGGTATCAAAGCAAGGTTCTCACCTAAAGCTTCACCGCCGTGAGAAAAGGATGTCGACGCCTATCGAGTTGGAGCCGGTGCTTCTCCAAAATGATGGTTCAAACTTTCTACCTTGGTCAATACATGTACTCAATGCTTTTAGAGATATTAGTCCTCTTGTTGAGCATATTGTGGATGCAAGCATACCTCTTTCTATAGTTGATTGGAGCAACTACAAAAATTTGTCAAAAGAGGAAGAGATATGCGTGCAACTCAATGCTCAAGCTATTAATATTATTTTGAGTACATTGAGTGTAGAGGTTCAAGATGAGGCAATCTTCAATGGACAACCACCTCCGGAGAGTGCTCATCTCATTTGGACTAGACTTTTGATTTGTATGGAAAATCCAAATGTGATGATGCACTTGAGATTAAGTCATTGGAAAGTATGTCCATTGTGTCATCATACAAATGAAGAAGCCTCACAAAGACCTCAAGAGCACCGAGCCGAGCAAGAAGTGCAAGCAAACACATGACGACTTTCAGCTCGCCCACATTATACCGGATGTCCGGTATGCCTCACCGGACGTGTCCGGTATGGCCGAGGCAACAGAACCAAAAAGCAAATTTTATAGCGATGCTCAAGCCCGATGGCGACCAAGTGATGAGTCAACCTCAGTATCTCATGATACTCATCACTTGTGTCTCATGGCCAAGAAAAGCAAGAAGAAGAATAACAAGAAAGATCAAGAAAAGGAGAAAGCACAAGTAGATGATCAAGATAAGAGTGATGTTGAAATTGAAGACAACTACAACCTTGATCATCTCAACCATAAAGACAAGTTCATCATCATGAAGATAGTTGAAAAGAATGATGAGCTTGAAGAAGAGATTGAGAAGCAAGAGCAATCGCTTCAAAATCAAGAAAAGTTTCTCATCTCCAAATTGCAAGAGCTAAAGGCAATAAATGAGAGGTATGAAAAATTGTCAATCGAGCATGCTTTAGTTACTAATTCCTCTTCTAGTGTTTCACAACTAGAGAAGGAAAACTTCGAGCTCAAGGCAAGGCTCGATGAACTATCAAGCAAGTATAATGAGCTACAAGCAAATTATGTTCATCTAAAGTGCTCTCATGAGGAAGTAGTAGAATCAAGCATCATGCTTGAGGTGGCTCATGAGGTTGTGATTACATCGGTAAAATTCTCTCAACCTCTCACACATCCGCTCACTAGTACACCATCTCAAATAAATATTTCTTGTACTAATGAGTGTGCTCCTCAAGCAAGCCAATCTTCGATTGAGCTAAATCTTATAGAAAACATAGAGCTCAAAGAAGAAGTGCAAAGATTAAAGAAAGATGTGATTCGGTTGAAGGGTAAGGAGAAAGAACAACCTTCTCAAGATAACCGTGATAACATGGTGAAGAAGCTTGAGAAGGGTTCAAACCTTGCTTCCTCCAAAGCCCAACAAAAGAATCACATCTCAAGCAAGGCCAACACAACCAAGAGCAAGAAACATGGAAAAAGGATGTGCTATGGTTGTGGATTGTATGGACATGAGTGGGCTATGTGTCCACACAAGAGTTGGGCCGACAAAGTTGAAGCCGCCAATCAAAAGGCTTCTTCCAAGAAATGCCCAATGTACAAAGAAGCAAGAAAGGAAGCCCAAGTTGCAACTAGAAGATGCTATGGGTGCAATGAGATGGGCCACAAGGTTGATAGATGTCCATACAAGCAAATCAAGCATAGAGCACACAAAGGCCGCATATGCTATGCTTGTAGAAGAAAGGGGCATCTAAGCTATGAATGCCCAAATGGTAAAACTCCTAAGCCAAACACATTTGTTTATAATGATATGCTTAGGAAGACCACAAATGGAGTTAGCACTAGTAAGGTGATGTGTTCACCACAAACTAATGCTAAAGCCATTTGGGTGCCTAAACACTTATTAACTAACTCAAAAGGACCCAACAAGAGTTGGGTACCAAAGTGTGCTTAGGTTAATGATGTAGGTACTTGGTAATGGGATGAAGGTTTCGGGGTGATTGAGCAAGCAATGTGACTATTTTCACT